AAATTTATGTACACTAAAATAAACTCATACTTTTAATTCTTTTGGTCCACAGATCTTTTGAAATGTCCACAGATACACACACATACATTTTATGGCAGAGCATGGCTTATATTAAGCAAAAGGAGAGGAGGCACGGACTAGTGGTCTGGTGATTGAGGAGCCCTACATGAGCCTTCCAGCAACCCTAAGAGACAGCAATTCACCCTTCATTCAGAACTTGTCAGCAGTGATGGGGCACAGGGAGAGTGAATAGTTGAAATAAATACATACTGAACACCTACTATGTGCTCAATTATATGCATACCTCTACATACATGACCACAGCTAGCTCAGTTTAAAAATTCAGTCTTTTACTTATTTTTAAAACATCTTCCCTTATCCCAAAAGAATTTTTTTAAAACTTTTCCCATAAAAATGGTTACCATTTCAAAACCGGAGGACTTGTCAGCAATGTCCTACAGAGTCATCTCTTTCTGCCTCATTCACCAAGGACATTTATAATTCTGACAAGATGTCTCTGTCTTTCAGAACATCCCTGCAGGAGGTTGTCAGCTTTAAAAAATGGTGCCCTAAATAGAAAGGGGGAAGGTAGTTAATGTGCTTGTTTTTATGGACCAAAGTTCATGAAAAAAACCTCTGGGCTCCTCCCCAAACACCTTTGACAACTAGTGTGAGATGCAATTTGGGCTGGTTCCTTTTGTTGTGGAAAACATTTCACTTCCTTAGAAATCTCTTTAATGAATGCTTCCTCCCTGGATTGATTATCCTCTCCCCTGGCAACCCTTTCTGCATTTGTGTAATTCAATTAAATGGCATATGTTGAGTATATTTGTGCTTAATACATAATAGATGTTCCATTGATGATAGCAAGTGGTGAAACATGTGTGCTTTGTCATTTGCTTAAATTTAAAAGTCAGGCTTTATAAAGGCTGATTCCCCAATTATTTTTTTCTTTGTTATGTCATAAATGTTGACAATGTATAATTCCGGCCTATTTTGAATCTAGGGATGTTAATCACCATCACCCTTTCTGAACCTTCCTTGAAACAGCCCGTGGCGGTAAGCCATGGACATCTATTTTGCTGGCATTGATCCCCACTGCCTAGTTCAATGCCATGCCAGGGATGGTGCTGAAATTATCTTTTTACCTTGAAGGAGCCAGGAAATGATTGATTCTTTCTCTTAAGGATATTGTACAAAGTTCTTCTTCTTATGATAAAAATATTATATTTTTAAACTTCCTATCTGTCTGAAAGTCAGTGAGACAGAGAGGGACAGAAACAGCAAAGAAGAGAGAACACCTATCTGCCAGGTCACTCTCTAAATGACTGCAATGACAGGGTCTGGACCTGGAGCCAGAAGCCAGGAGCTGAAAACACAGTTCAGCCTCCCACCTGGGAGGTAGGACTCCACCTACTTGAGCCACATCCACTGCCTCTTGGGATCTGCACTGGCACTGCAATGTGGGATGCAGACTTCTTAAACTGCTAGGCTAAATGCTCCTTAAGAAAATATTTTAAATCATGCTTTACAATACAATCTTGTCATTTCCATTTAAAGGAGTTTTTATTAAAATACAAATAATAGATTGCCATCCTAAGGAACATGGAAAACATAAAACAGTAAAATCTGTAGGTACAATTGATACCTATGTCTTCTTTTAGAGGTTTTTAGCCCAAGTTTTCTAGACCCTACACTGAAGAGTGAGCAACATACCAAGTGCCACAAGACATATCACGTCCTGTCTTTTGACAGATGCAGGCCTGAGAAACTTGTACTTTTAAACTATATTTACATTACAAAGCCATAACTCCTGTTTTGACAGCCAGGTTTTGTAACAGTTCACTCAGTTGTCATATTAGCAGTTCATTTTTTACCTGACAGTCTGTGCCAATATTTAGTTTTGTCAAGTTTGCCTTGTCAGAGTGGAAACTATATCAAAACTCTGTAACACAAGTGACAGCCATTAACCTGACTGAAAAAACACACTCCAATTTGAAACACATTTTGCTTATATAAAAACGTATAAGTAAAACAACCCTGTTATAAGTAATAAGACTATAATGAATGAAGTAGTATTTGTTTCAGCAAGATTCAGACATAGAAAATAATTAACAAGTCACGTCATATATGCATTTCCAAAATAAGAATTACTTGCAGATATTAAATGTCTCCTTATTAAGCATATTTTAATGAATTTTGCTCCTTACATGGTGTGTATTTGAACTAAAGGACATATTTATTTGTGCAGATTCCATGGATCTAGACTTATGGCAATTCCACATCAAGAGTTTTTATTTCACCACTTAACAAATAACTCAGGAATGTAAGGCTATAATTATAGAATTGTTTTAAGTCATTGTAATAATATGAAGATACTTGAAAAAAGGTTGTAGAAAATGGAATGAAAATTTACTTTGGTGCAAAAATTTTTAAATCCAGGTATAGTTTTTCCACAACATGAAATTTTTTCATTAACTTTTTGATGATCCTCTTACGATTAACTTCTTACTTTTATATATTTAGTGACCCATCCATCAATTTGTCAATGTGTAAAATATAGGAAAAGTTTTATTCTTCAGCATTTGAGTTAGTTCCATTAAAAATCGGTTTCTCTTAAAGAGAGTAAAGATTAAACGAAGGCCGGCGCCGTGGCTCAATAGGCTAATCCTCCGCCTTGCGGCGCCGGCACACCGGGTTCTAGTCCCGGTCGGGGCGCCGGATTCTGTCCCGGTTGCCCCTCTTCCAGGCCAGCCCTCTGCTATGGCCAGGGAGTGCAGTGGAGGATGGCCCAGGTGCTTGGGCCCTGCACCCCATGGGAGACCAGGAAAAGCACCTGGCTCCTGGCTCCTGCCATCGGATCAGTGCGGTGCGCCGGCTGCAGCGGCGGCCATTGGAGGGTGAACCAACGGCAAAGGAAGACCTTTCTCTCTCTGTCTCTCTCTCACTGTCCACTCTGCCTGTCAAAAAAATTAAAAAAAAAAAAAAAAGATTAAACGAGCTCTATCATAATCCTGACTCATAATCCATGATTTACTCATGGATAACAGCAAAACAATTAAAGTAATTGCATCATTGCACTACAAAGTAGGTTGATGCTTGGGAATTAAGACTCAAAGCTTATTGAAGGCAAAGGCCATGTCACTTTCCCTTGCAGAATGCATTTGAATGGATATTTATTAAATCCATGGATACTATTTAGACATGCTGATTTTTCTTGTTGTGTTTTATTCCCCCTCTAGGTAGCTTTCATTCTTAGCAGTAATGTGGACAATAAATTTTCTTTGACCAACCACTGCTGATCTTATCCAGGACACAAAGTAGAAAATTAACTCAAAGAACAGTCATCAAATTTGAATATTCAGAAACTATACACTAAAGAAGATAACCAGTTTGCCAAAAACAAGAATGGAATCACAAATTATAGAAGTAAAGTTATTTAAAATTGATGTAGCTGTAAGAGAAGCTAATTATCAGTAGAAACAGAATCACACTTTTTTTTTGACACATTTATGCTATGAGTCACCAAAGAGAAATATGGTAAAGTAACATGTTAAACACATTATTACTGATTCCTTAAAACAGCACCTTTATAACTATGGCTACATAGCACCACAGCTTGGAAATAAAGCAGAAAGAGAATAAATTTCAATAGATAAGACTGGCAAAACAATTAACAGTTAAAAACATTTTTAACAAAGAGGAACAGTTCTGAAAAAATAATATCATTACAGAATTCTATTCCATTAAACTATATAGAATTCTATTTTGTTATATAGAATGCATGTATCCTATTATAATTCTAATTCATATAACTGGGTTTCATAATATGTCATAAGCTTTTCTCTATTTGTTCTATGACATAGAACAAATCTCTCTTTCCCAGTTTGAAATAAAGAATATCGCAACACACAGTCTCTAAGCACTGGGTAATATAATATTGCCTCTAGGAGTGTCGACTTTGAAATTACATAGTTTGGGACCAAATCCTGATTCTGCCATTTAATCTATGTGACTTTGGACAATTTCCACAAAACTGTCTGTACGTGAATTTCTTTAGCTATAAAGTGGTAATAATAATACAAGCCTCACAGCATTTTTGGAGAGATTACATGATTATCACATTAAAGAGTTTAGTAACATGTGACTAGAAAATAAATGCTTAATGATTGTCATGATCCTATAGAAATAATTCAGTATTATTTTATAGACTAGAATGACTGGAACATTTAATTTATATATAATATCTAGATATATACTTTATATTATGATACTTTGGGTAATATTTGGTTGGTATTTTACACTAGTTTTACAATGTAACTCTTTCATTTGATATTGTACAGTATAATATGTGACAGGTTATTTCTTTCTGTAGATTTTAGAATTCAAAGAATAAAAGGGTCCTGCAGAAATTTATCCTTTATTTAATAGAGGGTTTAGTAGGATGGTCCCTTGTCAAAACACGATTAATAATCCTTTAAGAAATACATGGATCATAGTGCTCACAAAATAATTTTAAAGTGTCAGGTTCAGAAATCAGATAGAACTCTTTCATCCTAGGAATAAGGAGGCAGAATCAGAGATTAACAAATCTACCCAGAGTCATTCAGCTGGTCAGTAGTGGACAGTAGGTCATAGTTTATTAGGAATATTTTATCACCAACTAAGTGACCTCCAGCTAATTTTCCAACCTCCATAAACCCATGTGACCTCATTGGTATAATGAGTATCCTAACAATGTGACTGCTTGAAAGATGAGAATAACACACGGCATGGATAACATACATCAAGCTTTAATGCAGTCCCATGCCCTTCTGATGCACCCAGAGCGGAAAAGGGGAGTCTTTTGGGAGTGTCCATTACCATAATTGCAGAAAAATGAATGCTGCAAGCCATCAGCAGAGAACTGAGGGGTACACAAAGTTGCTCTGGGAGCTTGCAGAACCCTAAGAATCTAGACCTCCTTGTAGTCTTTCAACAGATACTTATTGAGCACTTACTTGTAAGTTCCAGGCATGGTCCTGGGCACTGGCAATACAGTGATGAGAAAAGCAAAAATGCTGCCCCCTGGAGCTTGCATTCTAGTGAAGAGGAGAGAGACCATAAGCAAATAAACAGAAAATTACCTAGTGCATTACATGTGATAAGTGCTCTGGGGAATACGAAGCAGAGAAAGGCGTTAAGGAGCTGCTGTAAATCAGGAAGCGGGTGTCACGAATTTAAAACCAGATGGTGAGGCAATGGGATGTTCCTGGAGCAAATCACTTCAGCAATCATTGTTTTACAACATGGGGGACAATCCTCTCTCAGAAAGATGTAAAAATCCTTGGCTTTTGAAGTATTCAGAGTTTTATTTACAAGTATATTTATCATTGCTCTATTTTGTGATTGCAAAAAAAATGGAAATAGCATAAGACTCAGCTGAAGAATTAGGTAAATAAAATCTGTGCAGGAAAAAGAATTGCACAACTTTTAAATATTGTGTCATGGAAGAAAATTTAATGCTATGGGCATATATGTGCTTCATCCATAGTTTCCAAAACATGTGACAAGTCATAGAAAAATGAGTATTATGAAAAAACTATGTTTGGGTTTCAAATGTCTTTGCATCAAAATAAAGTTATCTTTTAATTCCCTTGTTCCACGAACATTTTTATGTACTTTATTATGCGCTATATCCTACTGATTCTTAAATGTATTTTTCTTAGGTTACAAAAGAGTTCAGTGGTATTCCATAGGACTTATATGATGGAAGTGTGATAGTCTTAACTTTTTATAGAAAGTTCTTACCTTTTCTTACTACAAATATCTACGGAAGTTAAAAAAAAAGCTATTAAAATTAAAATAAATAAACTGAAAAGTTTTAGAAACCAGAACTCTTACAAGTGCTTTCAATAAGACATAGAGAGAATGTTTATCTATGTAAAGATTACCTAATTTTAAAAGAACAGTATGGGGCCAGTGCCATGCTATAGTGAGTTAAGTTGCCACATACAATGTGGACAATCCATACAAATGCCAGTTTGATTCCTGGTGGCTCCACTTCCAATTCAGCTCTCTGCTGCTATACCAGAGAAAGCAACTGAAGAAAGCCCAAGTATTTAAGCCCTTGTCACTCATGCACCCATGTGGAAACCCAGATGGAGTTCCAAGCTACTAGTTTCAGCCTGGCCAGTCTTAGCCACTGCAGCCATTTGGAGAGTGAACCAACAGATGGAAGATCTCTTTCTGTGTGTCTCTCCTTCTCTCTCTGTAACTCTGCCTTTCAAATAAATAGTAAATTAATTGTTTATTTTTAAAAGATGGAAGTTAACATGGCATTATGAAGAATCAAAATTAGAAATGACTCTAGGTCAGGCATTTGGTACAGCAGTTAAGACAACAGCTGACAATCCCAGATGCCATATCACAGCAGTTAAGAAATTATTTTTGGGGGCCGGCACCGTGGCTCGCTTGGTTAATCCTCTGCCTGTGGCTCTGGCATCCCATATGGGCACTGGGTTCTAGTCCTGGTTACTCCTCTCCCAGTCCCTGCACCCAAGCACCTGGGCCTTCCTCCACTGCACTCCCTGGCCACAGCAGAGGGCTGGCCTGGAAGAGGGGCAACCGGGACAGAATCCGGCGCCCCGACCGGGACTAGAACCCGGTGTGCCGGCGCTGCAAGGCGGAGGATTAGCCTAGTGAGCCGCGGCGCCGGCCAATAAATCTTATTTTAAGGTTAATTTTATTAAAAGTAGATTTGAAATTTTCCACATTTTTTGAATAACTTAGAGTTATGTTGCAAGGGGTCAGTGTTGGCAATAACTCACGTGCAGAAAAACCCGAGGGTGTTAATGACCATAAGCTCAACGTGAGCTCATTGTGCAACATAGTTGTTTAGGCACTAATGAGTTCTCACTTTCATTAATCTGTTTCAGGTGCTAGCACAGGCAACATAAGTGTCCTCCTGTAGTCTGCATTGGTTGGAAACCAGGCCCACAGATGAAGTGAAACACTGCCCCTTGCTTTTCTCTTTTACAGCAATAGTCATACCTGCAATTCATTCATTTGTACAAGAGTTTGTTTAACTCCTGCTCTCTCTGCTGGCTTGTAAGCTCCCTGAGGGCAGGAAATATACTTTTATTGTTTATTGCTTTCTCTCTAGGATCTAGTGTTGGCACACATAAAAACTTTAATTTGAGGTTTCGAGTGTTGTCAGTTCCACTAACCTCATTTATTTGTTCTATTTAACACTTCATGTCTATCTGTGCCAGGCAGAGACAAAGTCCTCTAGAGATAGATATTGACTCATTAATCTTCATTACCACCCTGTGAGGGAGATAATGAGAGTGCTGAGATACAAGAAGATTAAAAAAAATGTGTCCAAGCCAATAGGTGTTGGGAGCTGAAAATTTGAACCTAGGTACTCGATGCTGTGCTGACTCTCAGAAAACTCTTCAAAAGAGTTCACCTCTACGAAAAGGATGTGACCAGAAAATGGAGTGAGTCCTAGAAACATCAGATTTGAAATGTTTGAAAAAAATGAACCTATTAGGCTAAAAGCAAAACAAAAACGGAGGTAAGAATATCACTTGACTTCAAATGTAGAAGATTTCCCACTTAAAACACCAATGACTGAATTTTTAAAAATTTTTAAATGCCACATAACAATTGTACATATTTATATGATGCAGTGATGTTTCAATGAATGTAAACAAGGGGTAATTATCAAATCAAGGTAATTGTTATATCTATTACTCCAAACACTCATCATTTCTTTCTGTTAGGAATATTCAAAATCCCTCTACTGGCTATTTTGAAATACATATTTAGTTCTTGCCAACTGTAGTTATCCTATCATACTAGAGAATATTATAAGTTATTCCTTCTTTTATTTGAGAGGTAGACAAGAAAGACAGATAGAGATGGAGAAAGTGCACTCCCAGGATGCCACATATTGGCTAGGGTGGGCCAAGGTCAGAGCCAGGAGCCAGAATCATGATCCAGGGGACCCACGTGGCTAGCAGGAACTCAATTCTAGAGCCATCACCATGAGTTCACAACAGCTGCATTGGTAGGAGCCAGAACGTGGACATCTTAACTACTAAGATAAATGCTGGCTCTCTATATTTCACATCCTTAGTACATTCTATCATTATGAAGATTCTGTGGTGATTGGTGCTAATATCATTAAAGTATTCCCCATTTTTCATCCTGAAAAAATATGGACTTTTTCCAGAATACTCCAACAGTTAGTGGCAGAGTTGTGACTTTTGCTTTGTTTCAAACTCTGAGTGATTTCATTTGTTCGGCATTGTTGCTGAATGCGGAGCTAAGACAAATGGGTAGAAATTCCTAAAAGAAAGAGCCATCTCCAAATAAATCACCATATGTGATTATTCATTTCAAAACTGATTTAAAGAATGAGCTGCCTGAGTCAATCACAAAATGTCTGACCATGAGAAACTGTCTTGGACTAAACTTGCATGGGGCAAGGGCTTTACCTAGGGGCCTCCTGCACCAGAACGGACTTGGGTTATTACCTTTGAGTGTCTCAAAATGTGAAACATACATTGTTGGTGATAAGTGATCCATTAGCAAGTCATGAAATTATTTTGGGTAATACATGAACATAGCATATCAGATGGATATAGCGTATCACTGACCTAGTTAATGAGACTTCCACTCCCTTTTCAATCCTTCCGCTACTGCCTAGGGGAAAGCTTCAGTTTTGGTGCTATAGTAGGATTCAACCACGCTAATCCACCTTTGAAACAAGAGAGCAGTCTTCAAGAGGCAGTAATATCCAGTTAATTAGATCCAATACTATATCTACTTTCATTGAATTTTTTCCAATTTTGGTTTTCAATTTTACCAGGGTATTTCAAACGTTCTAGGAAAGTAGAATTAAAAAATGTTTGTTCTGTGCAAAATTTTGAAGTGCATGCATATTTTTATAACATGCATTTTCCTTGAAAGTTTTTCATGCTCTCATAGTAATGCTACAGTATTTTTCATATAAATCTAGGTAAGTACATTTCTTTCAGGATTTAAGAGTTTCTAACATTTTCATAAATGCTCCCAAAAACTCATGCTAAAACAGTAAGAATAAATCATGTGAAACTTGATATCATTTGGACAAGTAGTTTGTTTTTCAGGGAAGCAGTGTTTGAGATGTATGTGTCACAGCCTAACTTACTATAACATTATTTTCACCTGGATTCCATGGATGATATAGTTACCTACTTGCCCCAAGTCAGTGACTTTTATTATTCACACATCACAATATGTTTCTTGAAAGTGAAAGAATATGATTCTAGATGCTGGAAGCTCTTAATTTCTAGTTATAGTTGAGGAACTTCCTATTCTACTTGATATGAAAAGCAATTACAGTATCCCAATAAAACAAAGTTGGATTTGATAGGATTTGGCTTGTCAGTGCTCCTTTGTAGGAGAAAATAATTAGGCTTAACCAAATCTATTTGCTCCAAATGGTTTTTCTGATGCCATTTTGAAAATTTATAGCCTACAAACTCATTCTTGATTATATCAATGCCTGACACATCTGGTTTACATAACAACTAGCCATTGGCCATTCATCACTTCTTTTTTGACTTGATTACACATGTCAAAATAAGTAAAATTATCTATAGGAAAGAAACAAAAGTCAATAAAAAAATAGAGAGAATGGGTGCATTCTGCAATGTGTGATTATACCTTACACATGTAGTCTGTAGACCTATAAAGTAGGACATGCACATGGTCAGTGAATACCTAATCAGATTCATTAAAAGAGAGCTTGCCATCTCATAATGTTAGTCAAATGCTGTTTGACCAATTTGCCTCAAACAGTGAATGGGGCAAACTGAAGTCAGCTAGTCTTAAATCTAAGGGAAGGAATATTCTAGAACTAGAGGGTTTTTTTTTTTTTTTTTTGACAGGCAGAGTGGACAGTGAGAGAGAGAGACAGAGAGAGAAAGGTCTTCCTTTGCCGTTGGTTCACCCTCCAATGGCCACCGCTGCAGCCTGCGCACCGCGCTGATCCGATGGCAGGAGCCAGGATCCAGGTGCTTTTCCTGGTCTCCCATGGGGTGCAGGGCCCAAGCACCTGGGCCATCCTCCACTGCACTCCCTGGCCATAGCAGAGAGCTAGCCTGGAAGAGGGGCAACCGGGACAGAATCTGGCACCCCAACCGGGACTAGAACCCGGTGTGCCGGCGCCGCAAGGTGGAGGATTAGCCTATTGAGCCACGGCGCCGGCCCTAGAACTAGAGGGTTTTATTTTTAACTTCTCAGCTTTGTTAGGTTTAATCCATTTATCTTGAACAAACATATTTTAATGCTATTGCCCCTGAAATAATATCAAGAGCAGATTTGAAAAAGGCAAGCTCTAGTTTATTGTGGCTTTGGAGGAAAGCAAGGACCAGAAGCTCTCCAGAAATTCCTGTCATTGAGTGATCAGTAGGTGCTGAAGAGGGCATCACTCTGATTCATTGTGTTCCAGGCACCAAAATGCTGCACCTTATTAACTTGCCACAAATTGTCATAAGAAGGAAAAATTGATTTTTCCTCAGAAAAAAATCCTAAATTTATAAATTTCCACCTAGTTTTAAGAAGAAAATGTCATATTCCATTAGTTAAGTGATTAGACTTGATTAGCCTGGATCTATATATTTGGAAATGCGAGATACACACACACACACACACACATACATACATATGTACATACATACTGTGGGATTTCTACTGAAACTTTCATGATACAAGGCTCATTTTCAATTATTGTTTTTTCATCTCTGAGAAGAATATAAAATATCTTCTTTTTCACATATGTTATTCCTGACATAAATGAATTCTACTGAAGGCATTTGTTTTAGAACTGAACTAATATTAATAGAATTCTGGGTTCTAGCAAATCATTAATTAGTTGATAATTGATATAGATTTGTTTCAGAAATCTCACAGGTTAATTACTACTGGGCTCTTTTTAATAATTGAACATCACAAAATGTGTTTTTATATCCGTTGCCTTTTCCTAACATGTCCCCAGTTTCAGACAGAACTGAGAAACCTGATACAATCACATAGCAGCTCCTCATCTTCATCCTGTTTATGTTGTATTGGAAAATTAGGCTTTTCATTCCTTGGAAACAGAAGCTTACAGTCTAGAATTATAACAAAGGGACCATGTTCTTTCTGTTTGTTTATTTGTTTTGCAGACACTCTCAGCAGATAATGTTAAACTACAAGGCATACATTTGTATAGGCGTACATTAATAGCAACAGAAAATACAATAGTGTTTATTTTATATTTAAAAAATATTAAATTGACTTAAAAGTGAGCAGGTAAACACCTCAAAACATAACAAGTAGCTGCTTTTGGTGTGAAGATTAAAATTCAGTTCACCTGCTCTGCCCATTCTCTGTATCTCTGAAAGATTCCTAGTTTCAAGAGGAGATAGGTTACTAAAAGCTTAATCCAACTATATTTTGTTTGTAACAATGAAGTTGGGAGATACTAATTAGAATCAAATAACCCTTTATATTAATTTCAGCTCATATACCTGCCTGGATAACCAAGATTTTTGAGAAAAACACAGAAAGACTCAAATATACGTTAGATTTTTTGATGTTTCTACTTATGTTATTTTGAAATATTGGAAAATTTTCCAGGAAAAAAAATTCGAAGATGGTTCTCAGTAATATATTTTATAGAATCACAATATAACTCCAATAAGCCCTAGAGAAACATTCTCATTTATATTTTTTAGTAGAAATCAATGATTCTTTTTTTCCATGAGGATGAGATAATAGATACATGCTACATTTATAAACTATTAGCTCAGTTCTAAAAAGGAAATAAATAAACTCACAGCTGCTTCCAAGACAGTGTATTATTAGATCTTAATATTTAACTTAGTTTGCTCACCAAAATTGATTTTCTGTTGCTGCTGTTATGACCGCTTCCAGGTGGTTGTCTACCTTAAAGAAATACATAATTAAATTACTTCAGGAATGTTCTATACTAAATTACATTTGCTACTTTTATTTTTATTTTGAAGTGCCCCAAACTGAATCATTTCATTTGGCCTCTGAAAACAATAGCATGGTTTCTCTTTGCCATACCTCTCATTTCTCAAATTATAAGTCAACAGAGAAAGCAATGTGATGATTTTTCAAGGGAGATGTCTCTTGCACAAATGTTCTCCTACACAAATTGTTCAATGCAAGCCTGGCCACTTTTTCACTGAGAACAACACATTCCTGCCTTCAACATTCAGTCCTCCCCATTTTCAGTAGAGTCCTTCCTTATGCCAGAAATATTGTCCTATGAACCAGAAGGGACAAGCTTTATCAAAGAGTAATTTAACATTATGTTTCTTTTACTGATTTTTGACAGATCTTTACTCAGACTTAAGGTGAACATTCCAAAACGCAGTAGTGCCTCAAATATTTCAAATCTCTGAGGCTTGTGCTATGATCCTTCATACAGGATTCTTTTACTATACCAAATCTCTTAAACTAGCTCAACTTAGAATTCATGTATGACTTACCTTTGAATCTTCTCTCAGTTCCTGTGTGCTTCTTAAAGCTGAGAGTCTTTTTGTGATATGCATTTCTAAACCACTGTGTACCCTGATTCTGTTCCTCCATAGAAGAAAATATTCCACTGATGAAGTTGAAATTCCAGGAATGATGTGATCAAGTATACTGCAGTTTCTTATATTCTTTACTTTTGTTTAGTTTACGTTCTATATTTTGTCCATTTTGGTATTTACCACATACACTTTCTCCATCAAGACTGGCCTAGTTCACAGTACCGTTAATCTAAAAGCTGTGCTTTCAGGGACCCCAAGAGGATCAGACTCCTATTGGCAAGAAACTCTTTTCCCTACCCCCTCACTGCCCAACTTCTTCAATGAGGTCTCGAAAGCCTTGTAGCAAATGATAAGTGTTTTATCAGTGCACAATGAATGTTCTTATAAAGAATTACAAATATCACAAAAATTACATGTCACTTTATATGTAGATTTTAATAGGAGACAAGGTGTAAGAGCATAGAACACATATTACTTCAGAAAAACTAGCGTTATATGGGCAAAGGGGAAATAGAGGATTTAATTCACATCTTGCTTCTTTTTTTTGCTCACAGTCCTTCTACCTTTGATTACCCTAAAAAGAACAGTACTTGTCATATAGCTTTCTTTTTTTTAAAGTATTTTTATTTATTTATTTGAGAGGTAGGGTTACAGACAGTGAGAGGGAGAGACAGAGAGAAAGGTCTTCCTTCCATTGGTTCACTCCCCAGATGGCCGCAACAGCCGGAACTGCGCCGATCCAAAAGCCAGGAGCCAGATGCTTCTTTCTGGTCTCCCACATGGGTGCAGGGGCCCAAGCACTTGGGCGGTCTTCCACTGCTTTCCCAGGCCATAGCAGAAAGCTGGATTGGAAGAGAGGCAGCCGGGACTAGAACCGGTGCCCATATGGGATGCCGGCACCTCTACTGCTCCAGGGGGAAGGCCCCCTCCCCCTTTTTTAAAGTTTTTTTTGGTCATACAGCTTTCTATTCTACCTCCTTGAAATCTTTATTCCCCTCTTTGGTAGCTAATTCTTAAGAACCTGTAGAAATTTGTGTTTCAGTGTGGGTGCAAACTGTTGAAATCTTTACTTCTACTAAATTGATCTTCTGTATATAAAGAGAATTGAAAATGAATCGATGCGAATGGAATGGGAGAGGGAGCGAGAGATGGGAGGGTTGCAGGTGGGAGGGAAATTATGGGGGTGGAAGCTATTGTAATCCATAAACTGTACTTTGAAAATTTATATTTCTTAAATAACAGTTAAAAAAAAAAAGAACCTGTAGAAAGGCTTTGATACTGGACTATCTATGTTCTATTGTAATTTAGGGGCCATCTTGCTTTCTGTAACATGCTGTTACTAATGTCATCCCTAGGAGTGCAACATACAGCCTTAAATAATTTAGATGTCAAAGGCAAAAGATCATTTTACAGCCAGCGCCACGGCTCACTTGGCTAACCCTCTGCCTGCGGTGCCAGCACCCAGGTTCTAGTCCTGTTTGGGGCGCCAGATTCTGTCCCGGTTGCTCCTCTTCCAGTCCAGCTCTCTGCTGTGGCCCGGGAAGGCAGTGGAGGATGGCCCAAGTGCTTGGGCCCTGTACCTGCATGGGAGACCAGGAGGAAGCACCTGGCTCCTGGCTTCGGATTGGCACAGTGCCAGCCATAGCAGCCATTTGGGGGGTGAACCAATGGAAAAAAGGAAGACCTTTCTCTCTGTCTCTCTCTCTCTCACTGTCTAACTCTGTCAAAAAAAATTAAAAAATAAAAAAAAGATAATTTTACATTGGGTTCTAACATAAGTATGCCTCAAAGACATACTATAATCTATAAATCTTAATATACCAATTACTATTGCTAATGCTATACGATATAATTAACAATTATTAAATCTCAACAGCATAAAAGTTTTAGAAGTATCCACTTAATTATCTGAGTGTATGCCTTATTCATTTTAAATCTATCATTCTGAAACAGTATTAATAGCATGTGAACCACTTTTTCATCAAAATTTTATTTTTATTTTTATACTTATCACCTTATAATCAATTATAAAAACTCAAGCAATGTTTTGGTAGTATTTGGGTTCTTTTTAAAACCAGGTTTATTTATTTATTTAATTTATTTAAAAGATGGAGTGACATCCATGGTGGGGGAGGCCGGTAAGAGAGAGAAAGAAATATATCTTCCATCTTCTGGTTCATTCCTCAAATGGCCACAAGAGCAAGGGGTGGGCCAGGACAAAGCCAGGAACCCAGAACCCACTTGAGTGACAGGGACCTAAGTACATGAGCTATCATCCGTTGCGTCTCAGGCACATTAGGTGGGAGTTGGATCAAATGCAGTGTAGCCAGGATGCAATCCCAGGGACTCCAATACAGGATGCCGGTGTCCTAAGGGGTGGCTTAACCTGCTGCCACAACATCTATCCTTATTTATGTACCTTAAGAGCTAGTTAGGGCCGGCGCCGTGGCTCAATAGGCTAATCCTCCACCTTGCGGCGCCGGCACACCGGGTTCTAGTCCCGGTCAGGGCGCCGGATTCTGTCCCGGTTGCCCCTCTTCCAGGCCAGCTCTCTGCTATGGCCAGGGAGTGCAGTGGAGGATGGCCCAGGTGCTTGGGCCCTGCACCCCATGGGAGACCAGGAAAAGCACCTGGCTCCTGGCTCCTGCCATCGGATCAGCGCGGTGCGCCGGCTGCAGCGGCGGCCATTGGAGGGTGAACCAACGGCAAAAGGAAGACCTTTCTCTCTGTCCCTCTCTCACTGTCCACTCTGCCTGTCAAAAAAAAAAAAAAAAAAAAAAAAAAAAGAGCTAGTTAGATCATCCTAGGCTGAAGTTAGCAAGTTACGACCTGTGCATCAGATCTAGATGATGCCTCTGGACCAGAACATTGCCATACCCATTCAATTGTGCATTGTCTGTGGCTGTGCTGGCACTGAGATTTGAGAAATTGTGACAAAGGCCATATGGTCACAATGCTAAAAGTATCTATTATTTGGCCTTTTACAGAAAAAAAAAACTGGCCAGCTGCTACTGTAGATGATTAAAATGTCCATGATTTGAAAGTTCTTTAGGGAGTATGGGATGATGACCTATCTGGCTTCTTCAAGATGAGCAGGGGTGAAGTAGGGAACAGCGGTCAAGACAGGGTTCTAGCAGGTGGCCTCTTGATGTGGATGCAGTGCCAGCTTGCAGAAACTGCTTCCATCCAAGGTTTCATGTGCATGGCCATCTAGAATTTCACTGTTTCAAGTCTGGAGAAAACTAATCTAACAAATAGATTAGATTCACATGATCTAAAACAAAGGACAGAGTCATTATTACAGGACCTAACAAAGCTGCTGTCTAAACCACAAGGAAGTTTTCCAGTTGAGAGAGAAATAGAGACTGACAGGAGAGGCTTAACAATAATCATGTGGGATTTAAAGCCTGCCAGGGACGAGGCCCAGACCGACCTATCTCTTCACATGGGATGCTGGAAGAGGAGTCCCAAGGAAGGTGTGAACCTCCTTAGGGAAGGCACCCTGTTGACTTCCATTTCCCAACTGGCCTGAATAGAAGACAAGTGGCATCGCATCTCTAAAAGAAAATGTACTGTTCTTCCTGCAACATTACTGATCCTACTTGGCCATCCCCCAACAGTGGTGGTTACTTTGGAAGCTGAGCAGAGTGTAGGGCCTTTTCAGCTTAGAGCCAACAGGGTGTGTGGCTCTGACCAAGGAGTCCTTAAACACCCAGGGCAGTTCCATTTTTTCAATGACCCAGCTCTTGGCTGGCAGAGCTGCCAGGGCTCTTCATAAGTTGACTTCTGTGTCCATCTGAAGCCCTAGCTTTTCACATCAAAACCAATGCCATTTGCAGTGGACTAGCCTGTTGGGTCTCCTTGATGGAAGATCACTGTGTAAAGCAGCTATTAATTGGCCTACAACCAATCTTCACATTGCTCCTGCTGCCTAGCTTGCTCTTCTTTCTCTTGGTCTCTGTTAAAACAGACCAGAAGAAATCTTTAAGAGGATGCAAATCAAAGGGGTTCTCAGTCTCATCCCTAATCTTCGGTGGCCTAAACTAGAAATCTATAGTCAAAAACATGTTCTGATAGTGGGTATTTTTTTTTCCTTTTTTGGTGAGGTAGACAGTGTCCATGAAGAAAACTGTGACCACACTTTAACATCATAGATTTAGACCACCCTATGCAATCTTTCTATAAATCTTGAAGTCATTAATAAAACTTTCTCTCCCTTCATTTGGTTTGAAAAGGGAGGTTTTGAATGTTTTCTGTGCCCATGGCAAAGTAAATCTAGCTGTGAAATAAAAATGTAAGCTCTCATTTTGGCTAGGCTATTTGTTCCTCTATACAGCCAGGCTATTACAGAAAAATGTTAGCTATCCCTTTTATAAGGTCTAA